GAGCCCAAAATATAAACAGCACTGCAAACAAACAGGCACAACAGTGTCATCCTGGGTAAGAAGCTAAAAGTGAAAGAAAAAATACGTATTTATATATATACACACAAAGTACATATCCCCTAAGTATAACGTAGTGATTATAGTTACTATAAAGCTAATTTGTCCCTCTCAAATAGTATATTTTACAGATTATTTGTAAAGATATCACCATATTTATAGTATAGATCTCTTTAAAAATAATACATTTCAATAAAAAAAACTATTGTGAATTTTCCTTTTTATACAGATTCAGTAGTATTTTCAAGCAAACTAAAAAAGAAGTTTGCAATCCCAGCACGTAAGAAATAAGGCCTCTTTCCCCCCTCATATTGGCAAAGCAAAATATATAAAAAAAAATTCACCCTCCCCCTACTTTTCTATAGATATTATAGTTCATATACTCATATTTCTTTACCACAACATCAGCATTTGTTATTTTTAAGTAACAAGTCAATTGAAGTTCATAGTGTTGCCTCTGAATCCCCATTTCATTATAAATACTGGGTCTGTGCCTCTTCAAGAAGACAGGACAGCTTTTTTCAGCTTCTCGATTTCTACCTAAAATACAAAACATAAATTGAGCAGCAGAGACAATATCTTTATCCTAGTCAAGTTTTTTTTATTTTATCATATGTCATTAAGATCTGGTCATACTTTCAAGCCTACAGATGCTGATTTCCAGTCTAAATCCAATTTCCAATGGTGTGTACAAAGTTCAACAGAAGAAAATGTCACCATGCAAGTTCCTAAATGGCAGGCAACAACAACACAAAGGCAACTACAGTTGTTTCAGCCAGGAAAAGGTTATGTCGTGTAAGCGTTTAGAAGAACTGTAAGAAAATCAGCCCCACAAAAAACGAGGATCTTTGAAACCAAATTAAGAATTTATACACAGACCTTTAACAAAAGGGACAGTACAGAACAGCAATAATAATAATAATAGTAATAATAATAAAAATATATACATAAAGTACCAGTTTAGTTCTTTTTCTTGTACAACCAATGTGATATTGGTAAATCACTTAACCTCACTTGGTCTCAATTTCTGTACCTGCAAATAACATCTTCTAAATTGTTATCTTTAAATCCCAGAAATGCATTTAAGTTTCAATGTACTGGAAATATTTTGACCTGTAGGCAAACTCTATCCTTCAATTAACAGAAGTTGGCAATTCAGAAACTTAAGAAAATTTGAAAAATTCATTAAATTATCACAATAACTACAGTTATGTAATTTTGATATATTACAACTAAGTTGAGGCTCAAAGAGATTAAATACCATGCCAATGGTTTCCTGCTAGTAAGTGGCAGAGAACTTGTACTGATAAAGTCTAAGGCCCTAATACATTGTTTTTATAGTCTCTTCACATTGATATATTTTGATCATCTTTGACCTTTCCTGGCATGTGGAAATATTTAGGCCTTACCATCTCCTGAAAGCATCATCCCTTTACCCAAAAGTCTATACGTGCAATGGCTAACCTCTGACAAATAGTTCATTATTAAACAACTAGAGGCCCAGTGCACGAATTTGTGCACCAGTGGGATCCCTTGGCTTGGCCTGAGGGATTGGGCTGAAACCGGCTTTCCGACATCCCCTGAGGGGTCCCGGATTGCGAGAGGGCGCAGGCCAGGCCAAGGGACCCCACCAGTGCACGATCGAGGCCAGGGAGGGACACGGGAGGTTGGCCAGCCGGGGAGGGACCACGGGAGGGCTCCAGGGTGTGTCTGGCCCATCTTGCTCAGTCCCGATTGGCTGGACCCCAGTGGAGTGTCTGCCCCTTGGTTGTCAGTGCACATCATAGTGAGTGGTTGAGCGGCCTTAGCATATCATTATTGTATTACACTTTCATTGGCTGAACAGCTGACCAGACAACCAGACACTTAGCATATTAGGCTTTTATTATATACAATGGGCATTTTTGTCAGTAAAAAACTGTAATTTAATATGCTCACAATTCTCTCCAAGGGATTCTAACCATTCAAGAATGGTCTGTTGCAAGCCGATGTGGCTCAGTGGTTGAGCATCAGGAGGTCACAGTGTGATTCCCGGCCAGGGCACATGCCTGGGTAGTGGGCTCGATCCCCAGTAGGGTGGAGAGGGGCTGGGCAGGAGGCAGCCAATTGATGATTCTCTCTCATCATTGATGTTTCTATCTCTCTACCTCTCCCTTCCTCTCTGAAGTCAATATAAATACAGTGGGGCCTTGACTTATGAGTTTAATTCGTTCCGTGACAGAGCTCGTAACTCAAATTACTCGTATGTCAAATCAAAAAGTGAATGAGTGAGACACGTGATACTGGGCTGATGCTGTGGCGTTCACTATGACGTTCAATTAGCGGTGGGGTATCTGAAGTTGGCTCATAACCTGAATTTTAGCTTGCAACTCAAAGCAAAAAATCGGCCGAGAGACGGCTTATATCTCAAAAAACTCGTTGGTCGGGACATTCGTCAGTCAAGGCCCCACTGTACATTTAAAAGAAGAAGAAAAAAAAAAGAATGGTTTGTTAATCCCAGGATCTTTCTTGATATTATTATTTGACTAATATGATTATTAAACATTTTAGCAGCATTTGATTGGGACAATTCTTAGTCTTCAGACTGGATGAAGACAAAATTGCTCAATGGCCTGCCTACTGTGCTATTATTGTCTCTAGTCCAAAGATACATTGACCAACCGTACCAACTTTAATGGGAGAGGAAACACAGAAATAGAAAGAAAAAAACACTGATAGAAGAGAGAGTAGGGGGTAGAAAAAATAATCCCATATGCAGCCAGTAATACTCCTGACAGACTGCATAAATTTAGATATTAGGTAAATACTTATATTGCTGGAGTTTCTCTCACCTAGTTCTTTTATGGTCATTATTCATATGTAATGCTATATAATGCTAACTTCATAGTAACTCAAAGTACTACTATTAATTTTGGGGGAAATATAATTTCTCCTCTATACAGATGATTCTAAAACTCAAATGCCTAAAGAAGAGTGCTTTTACAAATACAAGTGAAAACTTTCCGCATTAGGGAAAAAAAAATAGTACAAGTCACTGAGCAGCTAATAGCTGATTTGGCTAAAAATAATGAGTCAAACAACTTTCTTCAAAAACTAACAGTTCTGGCCCTGGCCAGGTAGCTCAGTTGGTTAGAGCGTCGCTCCAATACACCAAGGTTGCAGGTTCGATTTCCGGTCAGGGCACATTCAAGCAAATAATGAATGCATAAATAAGTGAACAACAAATTAACACTTCTCTCTCTCAAATCAATTAAAAAAACCAAACCCAACAGTTCATTTGATTCTTGTAATATTTTTTAAATATTTTTTCCCTTTATTGAATAAGATATTACAAATGTGTCCTTATCCCCTCAATGTCCCCTCATCCCCCCAATCCTGAGACTCAGCACTATTAGTTCCTCTTACCTATTATCTTATTTTCATATATGAATATAAATGTGTATGTATAAAATGTAAGGAATAAAAATCAAGAAAACATTTTAAAATTTTTTTAAGACCTTTTTAGCATGTATCCTCTAACATTTATCAATTTGACAAAAGTCGACTAGCTATCTAATATGTACATAGCACTGTGTTAGAAGATATGGGCAAAGATGAAACAGACATAGATCCTGTCTCCAACAGTCTTATAGCTAAAAGGTAGGCAAAAAGAAGTACATAATGTAACAATGATAAGATAAAATTAATTTCTTACAAAACTAAAGTATACGAACTTGGAGAAACATAAATTAATCTTAATCAGAAAAGACTGGTACCAACTTAAGGTGACTGAGCTGGGCCCTGAGAATCTGTAGAACTTGGGCATGAGAAGATGAAACAAAAGGAAAATAAACAGGCATAGAAGTTCAGATGATTAACTGTAAGGGACAATGGAGGATCAGCAAGGGAGGAAAGAGAGATAAACTAGGATCAGGTCATAAAAGACATATGCCGAGTCGAGAAGGTTAAACTTTATCCGGCAATTAAGAGAAAGTTCTTAAAAGTACTGAATAAGGAAATTTGAGATAAGAATGAGAGAAATTTCACCAAGCCAAACAGAAGATAAAGAGCATGAGAAATAGTGGGAATAAGGAGATAAATGTTAGGATGTGAAGCTAACAGGCCTGAATGGAATGGAATCAGAAGAGAACAGAAGTCCCATGTCCAAATGCTAGAAGGGCAACAAAACCATTGACAGAAACAAAGAATCAGAAGAGCAGGAAAGGAAGATGATAAATTTCACAGGGGACATGCTAAGTCTACGTTCAAGTGGAACACCCAGGAAAACTAATAGCTAGAAATACAAGATAGAAGGTGGGACAAGAAGACTTAGATTTAGATGGAGATGCACTAGAGCTAATCAAGATATTCATGGGCTCAGAGAAGAAGAGGGAATACACAGAAAGGAGGATCAAGGACAGTACTGAGGGAGCACCTCACTTAGGCCACAAGAAAGGAAGAAGAGATGGAAAAGTTAAAGATAGAAATGCAGGATCATAAAAACCAAGCAAATCTTTGAAAGAGTGGCAATGTCAAAATGTGAAATGACGTGGTAACTGCAGACACTTTGGAGTTGCCATCAGTAAACTAAAAATGCCAGGGGTGAATTCAATGCCAGGACTGAATTAAAAGTGAAGAATTAGAGACTGCTAATATATGCTTTTTCTTCTTCTTTCTTCTTCTTCTTCCTTCTTTCTTCCTCTTCCTTCTTTCTTCCTCTTCCTTCTCCTTCTCCTTCTCCTTCTCCCCTTCCCCTTCCCCTTCTTCTTCTTCTTCAACAGATGAATCCCAAATGAAAAGAGAAAACTACAGTAGATCCAGAGGGTATCTGGACATGAAAAGGGGCTTTTCTTTGTTTTATTTAGACTAAAAATAAAAAATTTTAAAAAAGAGTGTTTTTATGGAAGAAGGAAAAGAGCCAGTAAAGGGGATATCTCTATATTTAAAAGCCTAATATGCTAAGTGTCCGACTGTTCGACCAGTCACTATGATACACACTGACCACCAGAGGGCAGATGCTCTGACCAGTAGGTTAGCTTGCTGCTGGGGTCCAGCTGATCAGGACTGGGCAAGACAGGCTGGACATGCCCCAGAGCCCTCCCATGGTCCCAATCATGCACCGGTGGGGTCCCTCAGCCTGGCTTGCACCTTCTCACAATCCGGGACTCCTTGGGGAATGTCAGAGAACCAGTTTTGGCCCAATCCCCGCAGGCCAGGCGGAGGGACCCCATCAGTGCATGAATCCGTGCACCGGGCCTCTAGTGTCATATAAGGGTAAAAACAAAGTTTTGATAATTGACTAAATATCTTCACATATAACACCTCAACAACCAAAACCAAATAAGGCTAAGTGACTTCCTCAAGTTCAAACTGTATAACTTAATCCCTATGAGCAAAGGTTCTGAAGTCTGGCTGCTTTTGTTAAAAATTTCAGCTCTACCGGTGACTTAATCATTCTAAACGTGTTTCATCCTTAAAATGGGAATAATCCTACAAGTTGTTATGTGTGTCCAATGAGATAATGTACAGGAAGCATTAAGCCTGACTGACCCATTGTTTAGAACTGGAAGTCATGAGTAGAAGCCAGAAGAGGAGCTCAAGTTTTTAATGGCAAGTCCATATCTCAGTGCTAACAGAAGAAATGGGTAAGTACAATGAGGCAAGGGAAAAGTTGGGGAAAGTATAAAATAAAGAGAGAATGGAATGAGCCTCTGAAAAAAGGCAGGACACACTTTCTCTGACATATGCAGAAAAAAAGACAAATGAAGGCCAAAAATCAGTGAGGATGGGGAAAAAGTTAAGGAAGACAAAGAAAACAAGTGAAATTATCAGTCATCAGCACAATGAAGACGATGACATTACAGTTGTAAAGTAAACTCTCAGTGAGAGATTCAAGTCAGCAAATCTATAGCCATCCCATTACCACCACCACCACCACCAGCTTTGTTCCCAGCAAAAGTAAGTTGAAAAAAAGAGAACTTAGCTCCAGTAAGAAGCGGGTTGAGTGCAAAAGATCTAGAAGTAGACACTCTTAAGAGGCAAGAGCCATGCTTTACCTACGTGCCTCATACACCGCCAATGAGAGGTAGTGCACAAAGAACATGTGCTCAATCATGCAATGGAATGTGACAGGGAGTCAACAAGAGGTTAATTAAATGGTTACAAGCAGCAAGGAGTGTCCAGCTGAAGTAGGATAGCATCATTTGTAGTGGAACCAATCACCAAGTTGGGATGGAAAAAACATGTCTACTTTATCCTGCCTGCAATCTCAATGCTGGCAGAAATGAGTTACCTCTAGATTACTTCTCAGCACCTTCTCTTCTTCCAAATCTTTTCGTAGTTTTTCCAGTTCTTTCCTAAAAACAAAGTCTTAATTACTGTTGAGGCTTAATTAAAATATACATTTGACTAATGTCACCAGTCTCTGGGTTGCCTGACATCCCAAAACATGGGGGAAACTTTTTAAAGGAAAGAGCCATGTTAATTGAGAAAAATTTCAAAATCTCTACATGGAATGGTTCAGTATAAGAGGTAATACTCAACAAAACATGGCACAAGTACCTGAGAATAAATTTTTTTTTTAAAGTGAATACAGAACAGCTCATGACAAAATAAATAACAACTTGTTTTTAGAAGCAATTGCCCATATTCAGTTACCATGCATTTCCCAGGCCTAAACAACTTGGTAAAACGAATGTCAAAATATGCCCCTGTATAAGGCAAATTATAGTTTATTAAGTAAGATAACCATTTCTCTTCTCTATTTTTTAAATTAAACGTTACATTAAAATCCCAAAACCAAACCAATATACAAAATAACTTCAGCCACCAATCCCTCTTCTTTAACTCATGTGTTCATTTTGTTATGTTCTATCTACCTCTTTATAGTCATTTTTCCTTCCACACATCTCAATATATATTGTATATGTGTCTTTTTCACAAAGTATTTTACACAACATTTCCATGTTGCTAAAATTTTCATATTTCTGATGACTGCTGTTCGGTATTCAAATATTCAGGTTTTTTGTTTGGTTATAGTTGGTTTGGGGGGAGGGGCAAAGGAAATTGGAGGAATAGGAACTTTATTTAACATCATGAACACATCAATAGATCAAATTTCTAAAGCAAAAAGTGTGGACATTATCAGCCTCCTGATATACTAGGAAAATTATCTTCAAGAGTATTGTAGAAATAGCTTGAGAAAACTGTGAAAATTCTCATGAAGAATATATGAGAAAAAAAGGAAGTTTTAAATTATATAATATCAAAACTAATTTCTTCTGTGGTTTCAATGATTATAAAGCCATATTGTGATTAAATTTTCTACCGACTAATTTTTAAAATATTTAATTCATATTTATGTAGAGTTAAGTTGGATATGTGATATAAAATGTACTTCTAAGCTATTTAACTTCCTACTTTGATAAAGTTTTCATTAAATAAAATAATGCTTCTTTTGTCCAATTATTCTATTATTCTGAATTTATTATTCATTTAATTTATATCTAAATTAGGATCTACTCCTAGAATATTTATCCTGTTCTCTATATCTAACATTATTCTAAGTATTTGTTTTTTATTTTGATAATTTAGAACCACTTTACTGCCTTTCAAAAACACATTTACAAATATGAGCTTTTTACACAGCACTGTTTTCTCTTTACAAGAATAAGATCAAAGTACACATCTTGTCCTGTAACTTTTCTACTGAAAATATAAATTACTGACTCCATCAATCTTTCCTTGGCAATCTCCCTCAGTTTTTTAATGACTTGTTCTATTTGAGGTTTTAATACTGAATGCATAAAGTCTATTTATGTTTTTATAAACTATAAAGATATAATAACAAAGCAAAAAGCTAAGAACTCCAAGTCAGCTTAGGAAATAAAATATATAATACCAGTACCTCTGATACCCAAAAGTGACCCCCTTCCTCAATCCCATTTCTCCCATCTCCTTCATAGGATGAGTTTTATAGTATTTATTGTTCTTTTTCTTCTTTCTAATTCTGTTATGCATACAAATGTATCATGAAACAAAATACTGTTTGCTGTTTTATGTTTTTCAACTTTATGTAAATAAAATAATACTGTATGTCTCTAATTTACTTTTCCTGCCCCTCCAACATTTCTTAGATTAATTCATGTTGACACATGAAGCCATAATTCATTTATTTTTATCACTGTACGCTGTACAGTATTTCTCTGTATCAATATACATACATAAATGGAATATATATATATATACACACACACACATATATATATATATACACTAGAGGCCTGTTGCAGGAAGATTCCTGCAAGAATAGGGGTTCCTGAGGCCAGAGTAAAGCAGAGAAGGGAGCGAAGCCCGCCTTGGCAGGCTTCGCTCCCTTCTCC